CTTTGTTCTTGCTACTTGCAGTGAATGGGGAGTGATAGGATTGACTCAGTGAAGCTTAATTCCGTTCTTACACCAACTCTGTGTACAACTTAGTTGAAGTTTCTTGATTCATTTTGAGAATTGACTCAGCAATTTTCAACACAATACTTTTTTAAGCAGAATTTTTCAACTGGTGAAAATGAAACTTTTTTACAGGAAGGACATTTTCTCAATTTTTTTTTATTGAGTTAAGAAAACACAAAATACAAAGATTGTTTTATGATTCAATTGTTGCTTTATTTTTATTGTTTCGTGGTCCCCATTAGCTTATAATTACTTTTTTTTTAAATAAAGAGGTTGACTTGGAAATGGATGATGTGGGGATGATTGAAGCAGTATGTTTTCATCGACTAGCGCAAGCTTTAAAAAGCATTTTAAAACTATTGAATCTGGAAACAAAAAGTCGGAGACTTGCCTCAGTTCCACACAGGAAGATAGTTTGAAATTTCAAGATGTTTCTGTGGCAGGAAAAATGTTTCCTACTGAGATTTATTTGTATAACTAATCAGCAACGAATCAGCTCTCACTTATAAGCTGGAGCAAATCTGTCATAAGTGACATCAAGATCACATTTACTGCATTGCTTTTTACTTTTTATTTCCTTCAATACTCAGAAAATAAGTAGATGGGGGAAAAAAGAATTCTTGTGGTGATAGCAGTAAGAACATCTTGCATTTCTCTGATCTATTCTATGCCATTGCTGTGATCGCCTTAACGTACTCTGTGTCAAACTACATATATGTACGCAAAAGTGTAAATTTATGGCTGCATTTATACTATTAGGCAAGTATTTATTGGTTTTAAACACCATTAGTCTGGAAATCGACCAGAACTTTGACCTTTTTATGATGTGATTTACTGCCGTGAGCCTTCAAATTCCATGGGCTCCATTTAAGCAAGTTTCAGGTCTTGGCAGGACAAAAACCTGAGCTAGAGCTGTCTTGAACTCAGTGCAGTGTTGCTAAACTGGCCAAGTAGCTGCACTTGAGTGACCAGGACGGTCATTTCAAGGCGTAAGGGAAGCCAGTGCTTTAGCTGAGGTTTGACAGGATTGGCATTAAGGTCTGTTCGACTTCTCTGTCTGTGACCTAAGATAGGTTTTTGCTGGCGTATTTTTGTCTGGATGTCTATTTCAACGTTGAAACGCTCTCCAAGCTTGCAGAAGCGTGAAGCAAAGGACTGTAGCTGTGCTTCTCTGCAATGGATTACTGAGCAAAGTTTGCATAATAGGCAAAGACTACTTAAAATTAGTGCAGAGAATATCAACATTTGGATTCACCTTGTATCTTGTGCAGATTGGGTATTTGCCTCCTGTGTGGTTTGGGCTTGTATCTGATGAGCTGAGGCAGCCCCGATTCGACTGAGGGCTGTGTTAGCCACATGTACACAGGGGTGAACTTTGATTTCCTGCTGGCTGCTGCGAATAGAGCACAAGCAAAAGCAGGAGGTGCTGCTGCTGCTGGGACACACTTTAATCCAGGGGCGTCCTTCAAGAGTGCCCTTCCTTCTCCTACCTCATGTGAAAAGAGTCCCTTTCTTCACAACGTGTGCGAATTAAGGGCTAAGAGGGTCAACTCCCTAATTTGTCATGGTGTAAACAAGAGATTCCAAAGATATTTGCCTTCACTTTGCAAATTAGGGAGACGGCTACCTTGCCATACTCGCAATAAAGCAAAATCTGCAGAAGGATGCAACTCCTCAGAGCAGCACTCGTTTGGTGTTGCAGTGAGTTGCTGGCTCCTGCAAAGCATCCATAAGCATATAAAAAAACACATGGACACATGGGTTCCTGGATGCCTTTGGACAGTCATAGTTTAAGAGGTTGTCCCACATTGGCCTCGCGAGGAGGCAGGATCTGGGAGCGTGAGGCGGGATGCGGGACCGTGACTGGGCCGCCCCTTGCTCCCCTGTGGCCTCCCTGTGAGAGGGGCTGCCCTGGGAGGGAGCTGCTGGCGGCGGTGCCCGAGGGCCCTGTGGTGGCTGCGGCCGCAGGCAGGCGGGGAGCTGCCTTCCTGCCATGTCAGGGCCTTCCTGCTCCTGCCGGCGCCGCCATGTCAGGGCCTTGCTGAGTAGCTCAGCTCTACGTGTCTGTTTTTAAAAGAACATGAAAGAACGATTAAAGGAAAAAAAATGTTGTAAGACTTATTAGGCTAGTGGTAGGAAGAAAAGCTGTGTGTAGAAAAGGAAGTTTAGGAGCGTCTGATGTGGCTAGTTCTCCCTTTTCAGCCATATGGTCCTTGCTTTGACAGCAAAGCTATCTGGTATTTCCTCCTTTGTGAAAAGGTCTGGTCAGGGTCCCGCTGCTGCTGACTTTGGTGGAAGCAGAGGTGGATGGTATCTCGTGCTGAGTCTCCAGGTGGTTGCAGGATCGGGCTCTCAGGGCTTTAAATACGATGGCAAGTTTTCAGAACTAACGTGCTAGTCTCCTTGGGTGCTGCTGCAACAAGGCCTTGCGCTTGAGATGCTAGTGCGGCTCCTTCATCATAGGGAAAAAAACACACGGCAGAAAGAGAAACCTGTGCGGGTCGTGGTGCTTCCTTTGCTGCCTTCCCCCTCTGCTAAATTTCCAGCAGGCAGGAGTGGCAGGAGGCCCAAATAACTTTGCTGTGCTCCATGATTTATGTGAATGCTGCACCCGGTGATCGCTGAAGATCGTGGTGCCTCCCCTGCTCTAGGGTTTGGCCAGCGCTGCCGCCCTGTCTAGGAGGGAGCTGGAGCACAGGGACAGCTGCAGCTGTGTTCCTGCACAAGGAACACAGGAGGATGTGCTCAGTACCGTCTTGGACACTTACAGGACCTCACTTTCATGATCGTGGTTGTTGCTGGCCCATCCCTGTTGATTAATGTTTCCAGGCTGCCCAAGTGATTTACCAGGTTCAGTCACCTTGGAAAAGTCAGTAAAAGGGAGAGCTTTATCCTCCACTTCTGCCAGGACCTTAGCTCATGTAAATCACTGTTGTGCTTTTGAAACCTGTTCAAGTCAGCCGAGAGTCTAACTCATAGCGGTTGTAATAGGAAGAGAGGGCTGAAAGTACTATGGGCGTATTAAGAGGCATAGCTGTGACTGGAGGAGTTTAAAAAGCGCACAGTAAGACAGGCTCCTGCCTTACATGGAGAGAAATACATCGTGGCATTGGAGTTGCCTGACTGCATGCCAAGGGCTGCTGCAGCCCGGCCGCAGGGATGGCGCGAGCGCCGAGGAGCCGGGGCGGGATTCCTCTGTTACAGCCAACGTCACCATTTTGTGGCTGTGCTGCAGGGTTTGGTGTGTTTCAGTGCCACGTGGCACCTCCGTAGTCACGTTTAGTCACATTTATATCACGTCAGCCTGTGGCCCTCACTGGTATAAGCGGTTATGTATGGTGCAGGCAGTGGTGAATTGGGACTCTTGGCATCTCATTTGCACCCACCATTTTACTGACCTTGGCTGTAAGGCACAATATTCAGCAGTTATCATACAGAGATATGAGAATATCAATGAGCTACATTCCAGAATGATTGGCCTCATCCAGTTTATGCAGAAATTAGGAAAAGACAGGCTATTACCTATCCAGTCAGTAGCAGTTCTGATTTATACAGCTACTTTTCTTCCAAAGAAATGTATGCATATTTTTGGCAGCGAAATGGACATTTCTTAGTGAAACTACTTTTTGGTTCTGGTTTTTTTTTTTTTTTAATACTTCCTCCTAACAGTGAGTCTGCCTTTTCTGAGTCAAGCTTTTTTGCCTTTGATTAAGTGGCACATGATCATCTCTGATTTAGCTTCCAGTTGGTGGATGTGTCTTACAATACTTCTGATGAGCTATGCTTGGAAAATAGTGCATTTTCTGCATTTCTTTTGCACTATTCCAGAATGTGTGGGGTGAACGAGCCCTTGTTGATGTATCATACCTTTTGTAATTGTAATACTGATGGTTTAGAGTCTGGTAGACACGCTGGCCTCTGACTTAGGGTGTTTGCATAATGCGCTGCCTGAAATGCTAGCAGGCTGAATCTGCAACGTCAGGCAGAACCAGAGTGACTGGAGAATAGGCTGTGAGTCAGGGCAGGCAGCTCCAATTTCCATAATAGATACAATTAGAAGAAATACAGAATGTATTTATTTTTCTGAATACGGTGCAGGGGCGGGTGGGAGGCAGAACCATCAATTTTTGTGTCTGGAAGCTAAACAGAAATATTTATAAATGATTAGTTAAATTTGCTGGTGCATTCATTAGAGAGCCCCCCTAAGCAGCTGGGAGGCCGAGAGGAGCCGTGCACAGGGAACGAGAGGCAGCTCATAAAGGCAAGTGAGACTGAACGGCAGCCAAAGAGGACGAGGAAGCGGCGGGCAGCGCCGCGGCGCTGGGCACGGACCAAGCGGACATGCTTCGTGCGCTGGGTTTTTCTTCTCTCGGAGGCCCATCAAGCAACTCCCCTTTTGTGCTAATCTGAGCAAGCAAAAAAAAGTTTGCTTAATTAAAAGCCTGCCTTTTCTTCCTTCTCTAAAGGGGCCGGAGGAAAATAGCAGGCTCCCCTAACGGGGAGGGAGGGCTGGGAACGCCTGGCCGGGTCTCACCCTGACAATCCCGCTCCCTGTTGAGAAGTAGGACAGTGAGTCAGTTCATTCAAGTGGATGCTGTTTATTCAAAGGGACATTCTTCCTGTAAAACTCCTAATAAAATCAAAGCCTCGCCTGCGCAGTGGGGAAGGGGAAAAAGCGTTTTGTGCACAGCCTGTTTATTTACAGACACTTTCTAGGAGAAAAAAAGGTGAAAAGTAGAAAGGAAAAAGGAAAAACAAAGTAAGGTGCAGAACTCTGAGCACATTTGGGACTAAAATGGTTCTGCCTCAGTCTAGCTGTTCGCCTTTTCCACCACATATTCCTCTCCAAAGTTGTTATAATAAACTTTCCCGAATAAAAAAGAGGCTCAGTTTGGCTAGAGCTCTTGAGCTGATTGCTTTGCTCTGGTTAATTGCAGAGTACAGGCGGGTGCCTGAAGCTTTTATTCCCGATGAGAACTACAGATGCTGGCCATCGTACCATCACAAGGGCTGCCTCCTCTCCGTGTTTGACGTCAACGAAGCCATCGAGATCTGCGACAGCTACTCGCAGTGCAAAGCTTTCGTCTTGACTAACCAGACGACTTGGACAGGTAGGTCATGGATGGTGCTCAAGAAAAACAGCAGCTGAGTCAGATATTCCGGCTGCTTTCAATGAAGCAGTGTTTTAACACAGTTTGAGGAACATGCTGTGCTTGTCTGTGGGAGCCACCATCAGCAGCCAGAAGTAGGATCGTTTCTGAAGTTTCAGCTTCAGCAGAGCTTGGCTCTCAGTGGACAAGGGCTGCTGCCCGTGGGCCATGGAGTTCCCCAGCTTGGGGGTCCCAAGCTTTATTTTAAAATACAGCAGCAGAAACAACGAAAGTCTGTGACTTGTTTCCGCACTTAAATGTGCAGGACGTGGCCCAACATCTGGATTTAAATAAATCTTTCCAGCCCATATGGTTGCTGCGGTTTGACACAAAACCAAACAGGTTCTCCCACGCATCCAGCCAGCTGGGACTTTCCGACTGATGTAGGCGATGCCCGGCTTCTGATGGGAATGGTGTGCTTCCCTCGGCCTGGGTTTGGCTCAAGGACAGTGGGGAGGCAGTGCTCAAAACCAGGGAGAGGTGGAAGAGCCCGGCACTGCGTCGTGGCTACAAAGAGCTTTGGAGGGGAAAGTCCCGCTTGCCACCACAACTCATTTGCTTGTCTTGTCTAACGGAGTATGGCTGACTTGGAGGGATAAATACATTTCCCAAGAGTTTTGTGGGCCTGGTGGTCACAGCGTGGTCCCACTGAAGTCAGTCAGTTAGTGCCGATTCACTTTAGTGTAGGATTGGCTCTGTCTCCCTGCTTCTGAACCAAATTTAGGCTTATTCCGAGGAATTTTCACAGTTATTTGAGAAACTAAGATGTGGCAAATGTCTACTGAGAATCTGTGATGACTGGTGGTGGATGTTCAAATGCACGTGGTGGTCTGTAACATCCCTGGAGTGCTGCGTGTCATCGTCACCCTTAGCTGCTTTCCTGCCTGGAGCTACCAAGGCTCAGCCCAGGTTGGCTGTCCTGCTCTCGTCTCTGAAAGGAAGGGTGGCTGATGCCAGCCAAACTTTGGGAAGCTGGTTTAAGTCCTTCCCCTGCCACAGACTTCTTGGGTGGCAGGTAACTTAAGCTCCAAGACTCATCTTGCTGTAAAACTGAGGTCTTAGCATGTCTTAACTTTCTATCCTGTGTGCAGTTGGGTGTTTTCATTGTGCTTAGGTGAGCAACATAAATATACAGCAAGCCAAGCTTATATAAATATGTATCTCAGTGCAGGCCCCCAGCTTGGAAAGCCTTACAGTTGAATAGGAACTTCAGAAATTTCCTACATGTCAGAGTGTTTTGACTGTTTAGACTGCTAGAGCTTTCTGAATTTATTGTGATTCCCTGAGATGGGAACAGAGACTTCCAGGACCCCAGAAAAAGCTAATTTACACTAACCTTGCCAGTGACTATTGGCTTGTTGTGTCACACTATCTGTAGTCAGACCACTAAAGTTAACTAAGATGCTAAAAAAAAAAAAAAAAAATCTCAGGGCACAAGGAAATTCATAGGAAGTTTAGAGCAGGTTCTGTTTCCTGCTGCAATATTAAAAGCAAATGAGTCAGAGTAGCAATACTGTAAATCTTATTTATTATCAGCTTTACCATGTCATTCTGATGTATGAGCTCTTGACTCCCCAGAAATGTGGAAATTCGGAGTGGAAATTTGGTCAGTAGTCCAGGCATCCGGTTTGCCATGTGGTACTTTTTAAGGAAACAGTGCTAAGGGAGAGCCCTAGAGAAGCAGGCTGGGAGTAAAGAGCATTTGGATTTCTGACCCCCAGAGAGGTTGAACAGCTGTAGCAAGCGGTGCCAGGGAGAGTCCGTGGCGGAAGGAGGATGTGTGTGAGGTGCTGCTTGGGGCAAGGTCTGACCACTCACAGTCTGTGCTCAGGGTCCCCTCGCTAACTCCAGCCTCACTGGGCTTGGATGTACATGTGGCAGGTGACCCACGCTGACCTATACATATTGGTGGGAGAGTCCTTGAGCAGTCCTTTCAAGGATGGTGTGAAATGTGTAAAATCTTCAGAGCTTTCCCTCATATTAAGCTAGCTATATGCTATATGATCATAATTACCTACGAGTAAATGTAGTATAACCAAGGGACATTCAGTGCAATTTTAAATGAAAGCGTTTCAGTTTTAAACCAGTTGAAGTTAAAGCGTTTAGTCTCAGGTTGCCTAAAGAATATGAAATACCAGTGTTTCAAACAGGCAATCACTTCTAATTATTTTTTCCCTCCCTTTCCTGCCCTGTTCAGGTCGGCAGCTCGTCTTCTTCAAGATGGCCTCAAATCCTATCGTGCCTGATCCTGACAAGATAACATATGTGAAAGTGACAGGCTGACAGCTAAAGTGGCTCGGTGTGACTTGTGAGTGACAAGAGCTGTTTGTGTATAAATATAGGCAGCTGTTATGTTTAAGACGGCTGTGGCCGGAGAGATAATTGCACTATTACTCATTCTAATCTATAGAGTGCTAAACAAAACTTTAAAGAAATGACCTGCATGACCAGGATGAATGTGCAATAAAACAACATTTTGAAAATGTGATTTTTAAAACAAAGCAAAATACAAAATATGATACACTGTTAGGGTATAATTTTGGTTATAAATCAGCTGGCAGCTCTAGCTTTTCTAGCCAAGGTTAGCATAATTTTTCTAACCTGTGCCTATTTGCACAGAGATGAAGGTTGATCGTTTCTGAGAAGTCTGCATCCTCTGCGTTGATATTTATTTGGGCAAGTACAATCACAACAAACTGAGGCATATCAGTTTGTAAACTGCATATCAAACATTACTGAAGACAATCAGCACTTGTGCTAAAGTTCTCAAATATGCAAGACCAGTGTATTGTCAAAATGAAGGAGTGCTTCCTCGGATAAGTTTAGAATTGCAAGATTGTAGCTCTTTTTTTTTTTCTTCAAATGTTACCAGAAAATTTCATTTTTAATTTGAAGGAGCCATGTTGTAGGTCTAGCAAATGACATAAGCATATGAATAGTCCCACTGAAAGGGTAGGGACTTACCCAAGTGCCGAGTGCTTTGCTGAATAGGGTTAGGCCTAAGCATATGCTTATAATTAAGCCTGTGCTTAAGACTTTTGTTGAATCGAGTTGGAATTGTTAACTAAGCCACGTCTCTGTTAGACTGGCACAGCAATCCATCTGGTGGGACAGTACTATTTTAATCAATATCTTTCAATTATTCGTATTTGTTATCATCAACATTTGTTATCACCTTGGTTTAAGGCACTGCTTGCTAATTCTTAGAGTGAATGAAGTAAATGACCTTAATAATGGCAAATGAACGCTAGCCTTAATTCTATGTAAAATGCATTTTATAGGCATGGTGTGTCTAGAGAATTTGCTTTCAGTGAAAGCAATAAAGTAAATGCTAAAGTGACCAATGTCATACTGTTTTGTAGTTTGTACAGTCAGGAAAAAATGCTTCTGTTTCTTAAATTGTTTATTTTTGTAAAAAATAAAAATAAATACGATTTATTTCTTTTTTTTTCTGTGTTGTAAATAAATGCCTACATCCTCTAAAGACATAATGTATTGTAAGTAACCTAAGTGGGAAGTCTTTTTGCAGGAAAGAGCTTAACTTCTGTTCACAGGCGTCTTTCTGGGGCAGCAAAGGGACCGTTAGAAGACAAGGTTTTAGCAACTTTTCTTGCTCCATGGTTTGAGTCATGTCAATACCAGTCTTCTAGCACCGGGCGTTATTTTAGCCGTTTAGCATTATTTTAATAATTCACCATTAGGAAGGGGGAGAGGACTAGAAGAGACTCCAAAATAATTGCTCAGAGGGCTAAATGGTGGTTGAGCCTCTCTGCTGCCCTGGAGAGGTGGCCTGACGGCGACAGGGGCGGCGTCAGTTCTAGTCTCACCGCAGTTTCTCTAAGGTCACTGATACTGTAACAAAACTTAGGGCAATTTGCCGGAGCGTTGCCCTGTAGTGGCCGAAACGCACAAATTACCCCCCTGGCAGCCGTGATAGCTCAGCTGATGGTATCGCCGCGTGCTCAGGACCCCATCAGTCACTGTGGTAATAAACAAACACCGCAGGCTCTTCTAAAGAGGCTGCGGAGATGGTGCCCACACGTACTGCACAGAGCTGGCAGGGTGTTGGCACTGAGGGGGCGTCTGTGTTTGGAACATCTGCAACCTCCCGTGTGTTGCCTTCACATTAAGTGCTATCCACCATTCCAAAAACACTCAACGTTTAAAAACACTGTGAATACTTAAATTCTTTAGTCACATTCCTAGATAAAAGTTATCAACACTGTAAAGAAAAAAAGATAACCCGAGTAAGTTTTTAATATTGCAGGCAGGTAACTTGAGATAAGTTCATTCTCTTGTTCTCAGTGTGCCTGAAAGGAACGGCTCTGAAACCAGGAATTGTTTCTGGATTTAAACGAACTTGCCAAACCAACTTACATCAGGTTTTGCAAACCAATCAAATAAGGTGGAACGAAATGTAGTTTTTAGTCGAGAAAGTGGATTGTAGATTTCAGCAGCAATCAACTTCGTGCAGGCAGTTTTATAGCTCTTTGGGAGTGAGGCTTTCCTGTGGAAATGCTGATTAAAGTCTTAATAAGAGAGGCGCAGCACTGCAGTCTGTTATTTCAGTAGCTGCAATAAGCACTGCTAAAAGGCTGAATTTGTCGGGGACGAGTGTCTCTGGCCGCTGGGCTCTCACTCAGCAGGCTGCCCGGCTGGTGCTCGTGCCACGGAGGCCCAAGAAGTCGCAGCAGAGGAGGAGGCTCCAGGGGAGCGGGCGGCTCCGGGCCGGGCAGCTGGAGCTGCGCTGTGTTTTCTCAGCTGGAGCTGTGCTGTTTTTTCTGGGGAAAAGGCAATTCTTTCTCCTCCAGCCCCTGACATTTTGACTGCTTTGTGCATTTCCTCAAGCCACAAGGTGCAAATATGAAAGGAGGCTTTAAATGGCTGATGCCTGTGTGCGTGCATGGGTGTGTATGTACATGTGCGTGTATTTATGTACATGTCCTGCTAACAGAGCTATCGCTGAGTTCAGCTGGAGGCGCAGGAGCTCAGCGCAGCCTGGAGCGCTGCTGCTCCCGGGGGTGCTTTGCCATGTCCTCGCTCCAGAGCACGTCGTGGAGAGGAAACCTGGGGAGCTCTGCAGCTCAGAGCGTCCACAGAGCTGCCTGTGGCCTCAGCACTGGTTTGATGCAGAGATGACCCGTCCCCACCACTGGCAACAGGCTTCAGGCCAAGGTATGTTCAGCAAATGCCTGGCCCCCCACCACCGGCCAGAGCCTGGAAGAGACCTAAGGAAGACACGAGCAGCCAGGCTGGAAGGGAACAGCTCTGCAGCAGGATGCTGCAGAGGGAATTTTCCCAACGGGAATAGACTAGCTGAGGTCTCAGGCAGTTAGCTCTGGGAACTGAAGGTCTTGCCTCCTACCTCATCTATGAGAAATAGCTTCTACGCTGAGATTTGTGATACGATCTCGAGCATTTATGAACCTGAAAGAAGGCCTGAAAATTAGGAGGCCCTGTTGCCAGCTGGGAAGCTTCTGTAAACTTCTGTTCAGACTGTGAAGGGAGGGGTTGAGGTGCAGTGAGACACTGGTCAAGAATCACAGAGAGATGTGATTGTGGTCTTCCACCACAAGGTAGTACTATCAGAGTTTAGTGTTTAATACTAAAGGTGAGTACTGCAATTCCCAGTATACTTTCCTCTGCTTTAACAGATCATTTTGCTTAGTATTTCAGCCTTCACCATATAATTTCCTATGGAGTTTGTGCGAGTGGTTGAGAACGGTCTGGGGGAAGGCAGAGAGTGGCGTGCAGGGAGGACGGCACCTTGGAGTGAGACTCCTGTTTCTGGCAATAGTATTTATATGCTGGTGGTCTGGTAGCTGCCACCGATCACTGCCATGGAGCAGGACCTGCCCGTGGTAGGTCCATTACAGATGCAGCTGCCTCTGAAAGCCCGTCCTCTCCATCAAGGCATGAAACACCTCCTACCATCTTTTAGCATAAATCTATGCTAATAGCAGCTGAGCAAAGGGGTGAATGCGGTAGCAAAATGCTGGCCAGTCGGTCACAGAAGAGGTCCCCGAAGAAGCTGTGTCTGTGGAGAGCGGAGCCTCAGGAGCTCTGCTCAGAGCTGTCCCGCCTGGGGACACCGCGAGGACGCCAAACGTCATCCCACCGTTATTCCCGGTGTTCCCACCGGCAGGGGTGGTGTGCCGACGTCAGCAATGGTTGTAGGGCCTCCACCTCTGCGTGCGCTGTCATGTGGGAGTCCAAAGAAGTTGGACATTCTTGTTGATAGTTTAGATTAAGCGAATGATTTAGAGGAATTGTAATTTAAAGCATATGGAAGGTTATAGTGCGCATCCAGAGATCGTGTTATGTTGTCTTTACAAAGAAATACGTGAATACAGAAATGTTCAAACTTTGGTACAGGGCCAGGTACAGGTATTCTGTAATATTCAATACTAATACCAAAAAAAAGGAAGAAAACTGATGGGAATGTTGAATGATGAGGAGGAAAAATACACTATTTTTTTCCATATATAAGTGTATACACACCAGTGTGAACTATTTAATAAATGATCTTTGCAAAGGATTAAGGAGTTCCACACATTTCCACTGATTGCAAGCAGGTATAATGTAATTTTTATTTATCCTCCTCTGCTGAGTTCAGTATGTACTATTAAGAATTTCTGGTTTTCAATATTTAAAATTACCCAGCAAGACAGTTGCTGACTGAAATTACTTCTAAAGTGAATGCTGGTGCTGGTATGGCAAACATATTCTAAAAGTAATTTAAAAGGGACAAGGAAACTAGGTGAGTAAAAAGGATATAATAAGCACATGCTAAATATTTGTCTGATGGTGGAATTCCGGTATGTCTGGAAAAGAAGCAGGGAGTACCAAAAATTCTACCCTAAGCCTGAAAAGGGGATTAAACCCTACCTCCCGGCAGCCACCAACCCGTGCAATATCAGTTCCTAGTTTCTTCGGTACCTTTTGCAGTCAGTTTATTCCTTCTGCGTTTGTCTCCCAGTTCCCGCTCACAGCCTCCGTTTGCAGACGAAATGATCTTACAGCAATGCACTGGCTGCTCAGCCAGCCTCGGGGCTTGTTTCTTGTTGGATTTCCCCCACCCTAAGCTGTGAAGAACGTGCTTGCAGCTTGCTTAGAGTAAATCCCTTAGCTAATAGGATTTCTATTGAAATAAAATAAAATAAAATAAAATAAAATAAAATAAAATAAAATAAAATAAAATAAAATAAAATAAAATTTCCCATAAGTTACTGGCAGAAACTAGCTTTTCTCCTATGATGAGACAAACCACCCTCCTATGCCATCTAGTGAGGCTGACAGAATCTTACTCAATCCTGTGTACACATAAGGATCTCTGTGCTCTTATAGCAAAAAAAAAGCACATTTTTATTGCACTTTTATAGGACAGCTTTTCTTTAACTGGTTTCAAGAAGTTCACTTTGCTCAGAACTAAATCCGAGCCTGTCGGTGTATTGTGTCTTTGTTCCTTCCAACTGTCTGGTGATACAAGAAGCCGCTGAGCGTTCCTGCCGTCCCTGGGACAGCAGAGTTATTCGGTGCAAAGGGTCGACCTTCTCCCTGTTGTATGTCCTTGTTTCAAGCCCCATGCAAAACTGGCTGGTTGGTGCCTTCCAAAGGGCATGCACCTCACTTTTAAAGCAGAGCTCTGACGCGTAATCCTACACGAAAAATAACAATGATTTTAAAATCTGTGCAATATTTATTGTATTGACCCAACGTGAATGGCATCCAGTTCCTGTTGCCATGCCCTCTCTGAGCTGTTCAGACCCAGGCTGATAAGATTTCATATAGCCAC